CCAGCTGAAGAACCAGGATGCAACGTGAGTAAACCCGGAAATGAAACTAATCCATGTAAGGCGTTTGATTTCTCACTTTATCTACCTGCGGAGGGCAGTAATACGCCCAGGCGTTTCTACATTGCCTTAATTCATAGAAGAAGAAAGCTTTTGAGCTTTTGAGTTTTGTCATAAAACGATTGGTGTGTCGTAGCTTCCCCTGCTAGTTTTAAGCGGTACGTTTTCAACTATATCTGATTATTCCTCGAAAACATACGAAGCAGGTGTACGCGGTAACTACAACAGTAGTCTACAGAAGTTTATTTCGACTTTTTTTTTTGGCCGTACAGTGTGTTTGCGATTTCTCCTCACAGACAGAATGGGTGACCTTGATACGAACCCACTGGTTTTGATTGGTGTCGGGTCCAGCATTGCATTGTCTGGCCTGTTTTATCATTTATACCGACAAAAGAATAAAGAACTGAAAAAGCTGAAGGCAAGCACACTATAATCTTCTATCAACTAATAAAATTCTTGTTTGCAATGAGTTTAACGGTTGTTCTCTGTTTTAGGAAATACCTGTTTTCAAACCAGACCAACATTTGCTCAAAATACTCAAAGCATCTTCCCAGAAGCGCCTGCAGTATGTTGCTGTGGAAGGTACAGGGATGTCTAGATAATTAACATTTTAGTAAATGCAGTTTTGACCGTGTCAGACCTGGAGATCATTGTCAGTTTGCTTCCTGTCTGTTTGAAGGTGTGGTCCAGGCAGATGGGGAGCCTCTGGCCAGCAGGTTTGTCCCACAGTGCTTGTGTGTGATTCAGAAGGTAGCAGTGGAGGAACGCTGGCAATACTGGAACTGGCTCACCAAAACATGGTAGGTAAAACTTAATTAATCCCCCAAAAAAGCCTCTTTATTACTCTTCTAGCCTAGTCATAACCCTTTGAATGCCCTTGTAGGAATTCTCGGACCACGAACAGGAAAGAGACCAGCAACTCGGTGCCCTTCAACCTGATTAACCGAAGGTCTTACATCAGTGACACATATGTGAAGGTGCAGAACCCACTAGAGGCCTCTGGGTGCTACCTGGAAAGGGTTTACTTCAAAGTAAGACGTGCTGAAGAGGGCCTGGTGACCATGGTGTTACAAGGCCTCAGCCAGGAGAAACCTGTGGCGGTGGAGGAGAGCGAGGAGCTGCTCCGGGTGGGGAGCACCTTGACTGGGTTTGGGGAAGTGGTGCTGGAGGGAGGCCAGGTGATGAGGCTGCAGGCCCCTCAGGATGGCCGCAAGTACATCCTCATGCCCACTGACTACAGAAGCTTTATAGACAGGCACGAGAGGTCAGCCAGCATGTGGAAGATGCTGACTGCTGTTACTGTCCTCACTGGGGCTTCTCTTCTGGCCAGTGTTATTTACAACTTAGTTGGAAAACAGGATGATAGATCGAAGTAGGTTTGAAGAGGTGGCTCCTGAAGGTTTGATGATTTTAAAAAAGCCCAAGATTCCACAGTTCAGGTACACATTTAGATTTTCTTAAGACGGGTATTTTCTTGTCATGCTGCAACTACGGTGGCAGGGATGAAACAATAGAAAAACAGAAATCATAACATTTTACAAAATATATTAACAAAACTGAAAGCCTGGTGACATTTCACAAAATGGAAAAGGGACTCTGACTGTAATGTCTTGTATTGTGCTGTAATGTTTCCTAATTTTGTCCTTGTGTTCTGTCAAATGAAATGGCGTTTGTCCGGTGTTGATGTGTTTTGGTCCTCTGGGCCACCATACTAAACAGACCACTTAACAGATTTGTAACCATATGTCAAATTTGATACTGTCTTGAAGGTGAAAATCCCACACAGTCTGTCACTTGTACTCACATTATAAAAAATGTAATCATCAGACATTCACCAGGCAAATCTCACATTTATAAAGAGAAATTAATAGTCCTAATCGCTGAGACTTCAATGTGAGTAAGTTCTTGTTGGTCTCTCTAATACCCAAATCGTTCACTGGATGATGCCAGCACAGGCAGAATGCATTGTCAGACTCAGTGTGGTGTGATAAACAATAATTAAAAGGCCTCCAGTCCTATGAGATTGGTCTAATATTGTACAGTGGCATGTGAGGGTAACTCTCTCTTTAGCCACTGACACTGGGAAATGTTATAAGAAAATGTGGCAAGTGATGGAGCAACTCAGGAGCATGCATTTAATTATAGGGCATTTGCTTTATGAAAGGAACATTTTATTTTTATGAGTCTTTATAATGTTACATAAAATCAGTCTGTTTAAGGAGGTATGTGGTGTCAAAAATTTAATCAAGCTTTTACTGTGAATCTGATTAGCAAAACAGTTGTCAGTCTAAGATTCCAGACAGGGTGAAATGTATTATGAACAGCTCAGTATCACATTAACCAACATGCCTCTGAACTCATGTACTTACTCTGTTTTATGACCTGCAGACAGTGTATTGAGTTTGTCAATCAAAAACTGCACCAAACACTGTTGTACAGTCCTTTTTAAAAGGTGGTATTTTAGTTTTGTGTGTAATAATAAAAAAAACTTTTTTGTAAAACATATCAGCTGTTTGATCTTCAGTGAGACGAATGATATGTCAATGCATTTCCAGCCAGTCCGAGGGTCTTTCTGCTTTATTTGGATAGTGATGTTCACAGCACTGAGCCCTGTCATCATAGGGCTCAGTGACAAAAATGTATGTCAGCTTGAACTGTACAGAACAAATCCTCATTTTTTCAAATGGCTGAAAACTGTTGTAAAGGGTAACACTCAACAGCGTTCACGTTTTACAGTCTCTGTCCTTTGCCAACTACTCCACATTATTCCCCTTCCTCCCCTGAAGACTCCTCAGCCTCCTCCAGCCACTGGATGAACTTCTGAAGCTGTTGGAGTAAAATACACACAAAACCAGCTGTGAGAAATTCTGCATAGAAACAGAACTCTAGCTTGAGGACCAACTGGTGACTAGTGGCACCTCTAAGTGCAGTTAAAATGAATTTCAAGAAAAATGCAGAAATGTTCACAGGTATGAAAAAAAATGAAGTCATTTCTGATGCATTTTATTCACCTATAAATGTCAGGAGAGAGACTCATGCAAACTGATGGAGTTTGTTAAACAAACACCTAGACAGATTGCTGCTAGACAAGTCAGACAAGTCATTTCACACAAAAGGCCTTTTGTCTGTTAAAAGTCCAAAACAGTGGCTGCCCAACTGAAGAGGTCTCATTCTTTTGCACAGAGAGAGTGGGACAAACAAAGAGCAAAAACCAGGGTAAACAGTTTGGCATTTTGAGATGGTGAGTGTTAAAAGTAGTGAAAGCATTCAAATTTAGACAAGGTGTTTATCATTCTGGGTATGTTAGCATCTAAAGCCTTGGGATGTTTGCTTTGGTAACATTAACAGCCTAGCATGGTCATGATTTTACCTTTCTGTTGAATTAAAATTTTAATTTGGGAGTAATTCAAGCTTTGTTGGCCCCTTTTGGGACTGTCTCGTCAACCTCATCACTTTGTTACTGTCAGAGAGCTGGGACTCATTTGCTCGTCAGCGAACAGTAGCTTCAGACTGGTGGCTGGTTTTTAAACAGTTTGTCCCAACCAGACATTTGTAGTTTATATCATTGCTAGGAAACAAGGCATGTCAGTTTGTTGTGAGTTCCACTAGACCCTCTAACGGCTGAAAAGAAATTAGTTAACTCATCTTTAAACATTTGCATTGTTTAATTGTGATATGTCACAAAGCCTCGCATCCCGTGTGAGCCAGCTCACCCTGTACCTACCCCATGGTTCTTGCGGAGCTGCCTGCTCTTGTCGGTGGTGCCTCCCTGGGAGAACCAGCGTAGAATCATCTCCTCCTCCAGGATCTCCAGCTGGTACATGTTCATCAGGACCTGGATTTACAACAACACAGCATTTTCAGCACCGTCTAGCACTGACGAATCCAGGGTAAACCACAGAATTATCCTGGTGTTTGATGATCATCATATGTTCTTGCAAACTTTGCAAGAGTCACAAGGTTACTAACTGTACATGGTAGTGTTGATTGACCCTGACCTTGACCATAGCAGCCCAGTGACCCTCCTGCTCTAGGAAGTGCTCCTCAAAGGCAGACAGACAGTCTAGATGGTCCTGTGCTCTCTTCACATAGTTCTTAAACACTGGTGCCCATTTCTTCCATAACTGAGAGGAGGACAAATAAAGAAAACTCACAATATTTATTTCCATCACTGTCTACAATTACATGCATGTGATGTAAGAAAGCAGGTAAATCCAGCAGCTTATTTACCGGCAGGAGCACAGCAAGATATTCTGATGTGGTGAGCTGTGGGCCCTGCTCCTGAAACGGGAACTCCAGAACCACTCTGGTTAAAACCTGCATCACCTCCGTCAGACTGATATTGTAGGCGTACCTGGAGAGAAACAGTGCGTCCAACTGAATGTGCAGTCACTTTGAAAGACAGCAACAGAAGTGCAATGCAACAGGTTCCACCTTACTTGAGAGAGTTGATCTCCAGTACGAGATTGTCACAGCTGATGTTTTCATCCAGTCCTCTCTGCAGAGTCCCCATCACCTCCACATGGAAGACTGCACATGAACAGAGCAAAGAAGACGAAGGAGTCAAAATGGCAGAGGTCATCATCTCCATGTTAAAAAACATCACACAAGCTCATCTTCTTACACAGAGCTGAACTGAAAGGGAACATCCTGCCGACTCTAATACAAAGACCAGTGCTTATAACCCTGTTTTTAAGGTTTGTTACATCATAATAATTCCTAAGGTGTTTTTACCTGTAATCACTACCAAATTACATAGTTTATTAAATTGTTTTAAGTCAAAAGCAACTGCTGATTTTCAGAGAAAAGAACTATTTAAACCTTAGTAAATATTCATTCAATAAGGGAAACTTCATTTTCCATATATATTGAAAGGCATAAATCTGTTGGTCAGACAAACAATCTAAAGGATTTCCCTTATCCTCAGGGAACTTCAGAAGGGTATTATTATTATTATGATTATTAAAATCATTATTTAGACAACATTATTGGTAATCATAAAACAGTCAAGGTTACTTTATAATAAAATTACTTGAAGCCACAAAGTGATTAACTGGTATGTAATATCTCTCATTTTCACCAGACACATTAGCAAATGGCCATAATATTAAACACAGACTGCTTTGTGAGAGGAGTTAAGCTAGACAAATAATACCAGTGATAATACCCTTTGTATTATTATCACTGGATTGTTGTTAATATCCTGCCTCTTTGGCCACTAGAGAGGAGCCATGTTGTTCTACAGACAAGCACTTTAAACAGCTTGACCCCCCTCACCTTGGACATCATCTATTTCGGGGGAGGGGTCCATTGGATCATCAAGACCATCAGGCTCACTGTCTTCACTTTCAGTCTCAGGGTGAGGGTTCACCGACCCTGGCAAACAAGGAGAACACAAGCTACTGAGACCTGCACTACAGCTTCATGAAAACTGGCGGTTTTACAGACTTGAGGATGCTGACCTACCCCAGAGACAGTGTGGCAGCTCCTTATCCTCTGTGGCATCCAGACTGCTGGCCTTCCAGATGTAGCCTTGTCCCTCTGCTCCAACCTCTGCTGGGTTGAAAACTGAAGGACAGAGGCAAATAAAGCTCCCTGCCTGAAACACTGAAGCAGTTTAAAGACTTATGAATTTGTAAATACACACCTTTTTGTTTGGTTTTTTCTTTACTTTGACCGACCTCAGCATCATCATTTAGGAATTCCACGTCATCCTCTTCCTCCTCGTCTGGATGATGCATAGACACTACAGTGCCTTCTGCTAGAGAGATGTTTGGTCCGATTACCACCTGGAAAACAAGTCACAGGCAAATTGCAATCTTGAAATTTTACCATGTATCTGATGCCATTGTCCAAGGCTGCGTGGTGGGAAATCATCTTGGAACACATGATTTGGAATGCTCCTAAATGGCACTTACACTTACCAAGTAAAATACTATATAGACAAATGTCCAACCTATTCACCAACTACACCAGGTTGTCCAGCAAAAACTGTCTTTTTCTTTATTTTACATATTTATTTATCTAATGGAAACTTTATTTGTTAAACAATACCGAACAGGAAGAATGCATTTATGGTTTGATGGTAAATTCTAAAGACATACTACTGAGATGTTGTAGGAGTATAACTGTTTTTTTATTCCACTGACGAAAAATCAGTTTCCATTTGTTGCTTACATAACTGCATCCATTACAGCAGCACCATACAAATTCACTTCAGTATCACTGGATTTTTATGCTATATGTTGCATGGCTCTTTTGAAATGTTTGTTGCTGCCACCTTGGCCAGGTCTCCCTTGGAAAAGAGGTTGCTAATGACAGTGGGATTTTACTGGATAAACAAAGGTTAAACAGAGTGCTCTGGTAACCCAGTGGTAACAGCACAGAACTGCTATGAAAACCAGTGGCTAGCTGTAGCTTTATATTTGGAGGACAGAGACTAGATTGGTATCAATCTTTCCATCTAATGCTGTGTTCATGTCATGTCGGCATAGAAACGACTCTGGAGCGTCCACGGTGGTGCTTGTCCACACTGCAGTCTGCTGCTACTAAGGCCACTTTGGGTCAGCTAAAAGTAACATTATTTTACCTCACGGTGCAAGTAATGTTTAGCTACTCCAACTGTCAGATCATCTAATCTACAGCTGCCCACACTCCGTGTGGAACACTGAAGTTGCATTTTTAAGTTAGGCTACTATTTTCTAGTTAATATTTAACATGAATAACATTATTTTATTTTGTGTGACCACACAAATCTAGTAGCTCGCTATGCTGGTAAGTAACATACGCATTTCTTGTTCATTTACAAGTGAAATTAGGTGCAACTGGTGATGGATATTCTGAAGCCATTTTCAAACACATAATGATGACACTTCTACTTTCCTTCCTGCTAAGTGGGAGATAGTACAGTGGTCAGAAATTCCCAATTTCTCCGACTTGGAATTACAAGTCAGAGGTTGATGTCAGCAGTTTTCCACTCAGCTGCTCGAAATTACAGTTTAAGCAGCATAACTATGCAAGAAAGCAAATATACATATGTCAAACTACTATTCCTCAAATGTGTTTTATGCACAAGCAAACATATTAACACAGAAAAAGCAGGACTAATGAAGACTGATTGAGTCTGGTACCAAAGACTAATAAACAGCAATACTGGGCCATGTACAGTCCTCGAAATGTGTTAAGTTAGATATGCATGAGATTAGTTTAACATGGAAAGCTGATTTGGAATCTCACTGACAAAAGAGATTCACAATTTTGTAACAGTAATTTACATTCTGGACTAAACGATCATACTTCATGTGTTACTTACATTATATGCCAGGACACACTGTTTATTAAGCGTCACACCTTCTTTGACTTCAGCCTTGTCACAGACCACAGACTGGCTGATCCTCACATTACTGGCAATGTGAACATTATTCCAGATGTAGGCATGGTCCAGAAATACATTGTCACCTGTTGCAATAAAATAAGGGGAATGTTAATTGTACCTATTTTAAAGACAAGCGTGCACACACAAATTAACACATCCACTTCTTAATAGCGCTGACCAGTGAGCTCACCTATGGTGCAATTGTTACCGATGACACTGTTCGAAATGCGGCAGTTAGCACCGATGCTAGTGTCACAGCCAATAAGAACGTTCTCCACCATCTGGCTGCCGTGGCCCAGGCTGACACCAGATCCACGGTATACATTGTGGCGAGAATACGTGCAGCTCGGTCCCTCCATGTCCGTGAAGTTAGCCTCGGGCGTGAGAGGGTAGACCCACCTCCGCACAAGGTCTGACGACACTGAATCATACATGAGCAGGTTGGACACCCTGGCACCATAACCATCCCTGGTGACATGCAGGTGGATCTGGTTTCCGAGTATCTAAAGAAACAAAATTACTTATGGCTTAAGATGTCCTAAATTACAGCTTAGATTTCACAATTCCAAAAAGTGACCTATGACTGCATAATACCTCATCATTGACCAAGATCCCTTTAACAAAGTCATTTTGAGTTTGGTAGTCAAAATTGTCGGTGAAGAGCTCCGCAACCTAAAAAAAAGAGAAAAGCTAAAGCTACCACTGACAACAGAAAATAATTTACTGTTACTGTCCCCCGTCTGTGTTATGGCTGACCTGTGGGGAGCAGATGCTTATGTTGCAGTCCAGGAGGTCATATCTGACTTCAAACTCATCGCTTCCACCATGGAAAATGTTCTGCAAAACACAAACATGAGCACCTGTCATTTACCAATCCAAGGGCTAAATCTGTTAAAGATATGATAAGCAAGTCCTGAAACTGTTTGTTACCATGGGAAAGTGTAGATTCTTCGGCCCCTGTGTCTTCTGGTAATGTAAAATCCGCTGGCTCTTGCTGTCCACAGTAACAATGACATCATCTTCCTCACAGCGAGACTTGTGACCTGGTGATGATTCCTTAAAGATCATTGTCATTACCGAGATGTTCTTCTCCATCTTTCGACGATGCCTGTGTAAGAGAACAATGATACACAAAACAGATATTTTTATTAGAGCAGAACAGTCTGGGGATCATTATCATTATCTAGTCTCCTGATTGCATAAAAGACAAAGTCTCTCTTACCTGTGCTCTTGCAATGCCTGGCTGATATCAATGTTTGATACCACATCTCCATAAACTAGCACGAAGTCTGAGCGCACAAGGTTCTTTGCATCAACATCCCTGAGCACATCTCCCAGGGAGCGGTACAGGTCTGAAGTGATGATGTGCACTGTGTTTGGAGAGGTGGGTCGACACCACTTTGACTTCCTGACAGACATATTGTCAGGTCAAAATCTTTCACTGAGATCAATCAGCACAAAAGAAGCACACAGGATTGCAAAATCTTACAATAAGTGATCCTTGATTTTACTGGCCATCCAGCAGCAGAAGACAAATGTTTCCTGCACCCCAGTGGATGTGAGGAACTCCAGGGTGTAGTCGATCATGGCAACGTTGCCCAGCGGCAGCAAAGCCTGTCATCAGTGACAATATGACAGTTGATGTTAGCAAAGTAACTATACGTGATGGAAGCTGAAAATATCTCCTAAAGCATCACTAATTACAATCAAGGCACCAGATTAATCAATGGATTTAAATGTTTCATGTTTAACTATGTTAAGGTGGGCTCATTAGTGGGAACCGTTGCCTTGTCACTGTTTACAGCATGGACAGAAGTTAGCTACCATTAGCATCCTAGTTAGCTTAGCTCGCTCCCTACCCGCGGCTGGTCTTTGGTGACCGGGAAAAACCTTCGGTTGAAGCTGTCAGCGATTAAAATGGCCTGCAGCGGATGCTCTTCTTCCTCCTGTTCCCCTGCACCTTTTCTACTAGAAAGGCCAGGACCCGAACGACTCTGTTTTCCTGCTCTACCGGCCATGTTTCTGTCTGAATCCCAAATGCTGATTACATGTTCTGTTGTCAGATACAACTACGGTGGCTGCAGTGGGGCAATATTCTGGCTGTAACTGACTAGCGTGACTGTGTGATGTGTGCTGGATGTTGTGCGATTGAGTTTTGCAGGATTACAGGAAAATATGCTACACATTACATCTTTAACCAAATAATCATTCTTCTAATGTAAAAAAGAACAAAAGAAAAACCAAATGGAAACAATAATCGCCAAGGATCTTTATCTTGTAACGACGTCAATGTAGTTAACTCGATCTATTTATTACTATTAAAACAGGAGCTAATGATTAGTGCACCTTTTGCAACAGAGTCAAACAGTGCACAGACGAATTAGCCACGAGTAGCCTATTATGATTCTGTGGTTATTCAAGAAAACTATACTCTGTCTGCCAATTTGTTTATGGCTATTGATTGATTGAAAATGTGAGGATATGCAACGCTAAAGCAAAAATGATTAGGCCATTAGGTCAGTGCCTGAATTTATGTAATCTTATGCATGTAGACATATGCATATTTTGTCAATTTTTTAAAAAGGTTTTACAACCTTTATTATTTTTAATAATAATTATTATTGTTATTATTACAATTTTGGCACTTTTCAAACATGCAACAAAACAAATAATTAAAACAGAATCTAAATGAACTGGATGAATAAAATGACATGATCATAACTGTGTTGTGATGAAACGCTAATTTACATGGATGCATTTTGAATTGACAGAGGTACACAGTAAAATAAAACAAGATCATCCTTGTTTATCGACTGAGCCTTTGGAGGCTCTTGCCTGCTTCCTTGACAGCAGAGAATTTACCCTCTGTGTAAAAAAGTAAACTAGAAGTACACTGTAGACCAACACAAAATATTGTATAATTGTGAAGTGGAAAGAAAAGGATATGTGGTGATTTTTTACAAATATGTCTCTAGCAGATTTGCACATCTAGAGACTGCAATTTTTGCCCACTCTTCTTTGCAAAATAACTCCAGTTCAGTCAGATTGAGCATCTGTGAACAGCAATTTTCAAGTCTTGCCACATATTCTCAAGAGGATTTAGGTCTGGACTTTGACTGGGCTATTCTAACACATGAATATGCTTTGATCTAAACCATTTCATTGTAGCTCTAGCTGAATGTTTAGGGTCGTCCTGCTGGAAGGTGAACCTCCGCCCCTGTCCCAAGTCTTTTGCAGCTTCTAACAGGTTTTCTTCCAGCACTTCCCTGTATTTGGCTCCATCCATCTTTCCATCAACTCTGACCAGCTTCCCTGTCCCTGCTGAAGAAAAGCATCCCCACAGCATGATGCTGCCACCACCATGTTTCACGGTGGGGATGGTGTGTTCAGGTTGATGTGCAGCGTTAGGTTTCCGCCACACATAGTGTTTTTCATGTAGACCAAAAAGTTCCATTTTGGTCTCATCTGACCAGAGCACCTTCTTCCACATGTTTGC